AATTTTCAACTTAGTTTGACAGCTATGAAAGTTTTTCACAGCGCCCACCACCACCATCATCAAATCACTAAATGAGGAGATATATTTTGGAAGAATGGTAATAATCGCTCGAGTAGAGCTCCAGACACTTGTTCTAGTGGCTCATTACGGCCCAACACCTAACTGAGACACTTAATGTTGTTTATTCCTTCAATTTCTCACACATCTTGTGTTGCATTGGCAAAGCGTCAGAGCTTATACACAACTATTGCACAAAGCTGTGGCCATGTTTAACACCCAGAGTCATCAATCCTTCACACATGCAAGTGTAATCCATCATCAGCAGTGGTATCTCAATTATCATCAAACCTCAAAAGCATCCAATTTTTAAAAAACAGGTGCATATTAGATTCTGGCTTTTCCCCATCCCCAATGGATGAATTAGCTGATAAATCACAGAGGAAGCAGGCAAAACTTAAGCTCTTCACAAGTTGTAAAACATAAATTATAATAAGAATAGAATAGCAGCTGATGAAAGAAGCTTCTGACTAATAGCAAATCAAGACCAATTGCAAGGCTTCTTTTCTGACGTAAACCTGTCTGTTTTCTGTGTATGAACAAACAAAAAGGCATTAGACTAGAAACCTTGTGGCAGGGCATTACACGTACGTGTGTGTGGTAAGGAACAGAATTCACACTACAAATGAGACGGCCTGTAGTAGAGCATTCATCTTAAAAAGACAGCCTGCTATAGGTCTATTATAGCAGGTCAAAAGATCATAAATAGACCATTTGATGGCCAACACAAGCTCCGCCATGGATCCTGTTCTCTCTGGTCTCATAACATCCTCGGTATATCGGTGGGATGAGCGTGTTTGTAGTATTTTTACCCAGACTCCATACAAATTACCGCTAAATTAGGTGCTATGCTACGATTTAAAGTCTTTACAAAAACTCACACCTCCATCTCAGCTCAACACCATGTAATAACTCCTATCTCTCCTGTTGACCTTTTCGCCTTCTTCATTGCTTGTCCTGCAGTGCTAAGCTCAACCCCTGACAAAAGATTGAGATGTAGTGCGGTGTGTACATGTTCTGTGCCACAGGGAACCGAGCGCTCCAGTGCAAGCATTCTTTTTTTCACTTTACCACTGTTGCTTTTAATCTCCCATCTCTAAGCAAGCCGGGTTCGCTGTAACTCCTGCTCAGACAGATACAGCGAGGCAGAGAGAGGATTCACAGAGGGAGGAAAAGGCTGGTTGACATACCCGAGTTTGATAAGATGCGCCCAAAAAAAGAAGACTAAGATGTGGTGGAAAATGAAAAGTGTAAAGATTTTGTCCAATACAATGGGCAGACATGATAAAGGAAGCGGAGACATTTGAATGTTTTTCGATCCCGTGTTAAGTGCCTGAAGGTTTTCAAAAAGGTGAACTCCTAATGAGCTGTTTACAGAGTCAGCCATGTTGCTAAACGTATCGATTTCCACCCACAACATCAGTTAAAATGAGCAAAGAAAATTATCCTGTGTGACAAAGCGTAGCAGCGCAGGAATTCTCTCCCTAGAATTTCCAAGTGCGACGCTACAAGGTTGCATTACCAACATGTCTTGCACATTGCACACTGAAACCACATAAAACATTGACATTAACACTCTCAAGTTTTAAATTGAAATGATGGTGCAACAGTAGAAAATTATGGTGCAGCACCAGGAAAGCGAAGGAAAGCCCTGAAGCTGAAAAGTTAAACACTTAAATTGAATGTGGCTGAGGTAGAAACCCTTTATTTTTTCCAACGTGCTAAAATGCACTCACAAAAAAAACAATAAAACATATCAGCAAATCCAATGCACATCATTTTACCAAAGGTGTACGGACAGTGTGCTTAGTGAATACATTGATTTCTCTTACTGTTTGCTTTATTATTTTCTAAAACACATAAGGAAAGGGCTAGGAAAACAAAACAAGAAAGGGGGGAGGGGAAGGAGAGCCCTGAACATTTCCTCTGCACTGCCCTTTCTGCTCATTCATTCTCCATGACACTTGAGGTAATAAATCAAAGCTGAGCATGCAGGCCACAGTGGGAAGGGGATTTTCTCTCCTCTCCCGGCCCCCACCCTAACCTCTGACGGTTGGTTGGACAAAACAATCGGACATCTGACAGTATCGAACAAACAGACACAAGGCCATGCTCATCACAGTTCCGATGGCATTTGGATAATAAAGAGATCTCTGTGGTAACATTTTCAAAAAAATAGTAAGAGAAAGTGAGCTGCTGCGAGGGCGAGTAATGAACGCATTGGTTTTGCTCCTTTACGCGTCGGTCAAGTGCAGCACAGCGGTCAACACTGACTGATGCAAAGCAAAACAGTGAGCACATGAAAGGGGGGGGAAAAAAAGTCTGTTAATGTGTTTTTTCAAATATGAAAAGGCTCTCACGTTATTTTAAGCGCGAGAGGTCGAAATGTCCTTCAACATGTATAGAAAAAAAGAGCAGGCAGGTGTCTCAGCTGTAGACACCAGCTAACTGTGTAAATGTTTCTTCTCTGGACCAGTGAGATATTGTTAGATTCAATTTTCAGATATTTGACACGTGAAATATTTTACCATGAGTTAACATTGTTTGCAACAATTTTCTGTTCTTGAGTACAGATTACATTATTGGAGGCAGCATTTGCCATGTTGTTATGGTTGTTAGTCTGTTTTGTCGCAGGCAGTGATGTTAACAGCTTTCTGAACACTTCTGAACAACAGATATTACAGGAAGAGAATAGAGCGTTGGTGGGTGGTTGCCTCAGTCCAATACAGCCATGCACACTACACCATTATATATGATGTTTAGTGGGAATTAAAATATAAATTTTAAAAAAGAAATAGATAAAAAAAATGACATGCCTATGCTTAAGCCCACATAATATGTGTGTGTGTGTTTGTGTGTGTGTGTGTGTGTGGATTTGGTGAGGCTTAAGCTTTTGAAGCATCCTGGAATGTCAGAATTCACAATTTTAATAGGAGAGAGAAAATGATAAGGTGGAATATTGATGCAACAAATGCCATTCTGATAATAAAAATTCACTGTCTATGTAATTCAAAAAGCTGTCAAGATGACCTAATACATTGTGGTGTTGAATACGGAACGCAGGGAAAACACAGGTGACACCAAAATGTCTACTTCTGTATTTGACTGGTGTCAGGATCTTAACACAGTTATAATGTTTTTCACATTAGCTTCCGCTGTGTGGTTCTGTCATGACATACCCAGCAGGTATCCTACAATACCAGCCTGCCATGAAAAACTACGTACTGATACAAGAACAGGTAAGTATTTTGTTTTCTTTGGAATGTGGGACTGTTTCCCAGGAGATTAAATTTATTTTAAATTTAAATATTAGACATAAAAAGAAAACTGCTGTTTTACTTAATAGTGTGAAATCTTATTTAATGTCCTAAATGCCAGTTTTGTGGTGAGAACATCATGATTTACTGTGGATACAACTTGCTGTTATTCCATTTCACAATGTGGTCAACGGCGTGGGCGAACATGCTTGCAGTAAAGCCTTTTTTCTCCTCCTCCCTCCACATCACGCAGTCATGCATTGGAAGGGTGAAGCAGCAAATTTGCTAGCTGGCTGACTGGGAGGACAGAGAGGCCTTTCTCACCAGTCAACGGCTGTCCTTAATGAGAATAGAAAGTGATTTACTAGCTTAATGCTCCAGCCCTCAGCCTGCCTGCACGCCTTTGCTTCGCGTAGCCAGTTTAGTCGGCACTCCTCATACAGAGGATGAAACTGAGACCGGGGGAAAACAGAGAGAAAAAAAAAAAAGACAGCAAACCACAGTCCAAAAAACTGTAGTAATGAGACATGGATTCTCTCAGTACCCACATCACTGACTTCCACAGAGTCTTGCATCTTTGTATTTGCCATATAACAGATTTTCCATCATACTGAGCGAATACAGTGCTGAACAGATTGGGAACTGGGAAACATAGAGCATCTTGCAATTAAGGTCCACCTTGTGTGGCTTATTGCATTTAACAAACATCACTGTGGGCCACACACTCTCTGCACGTCTACCAATACAATTGCTTGGCTCACACACCAAAGAGGCAAGTATTAGAACATCCATCTTTCACATGACTCTGTGACATAAGTGAAAAATATGGAGAAAGCAAGGTAAGCAAGTTCCCTTCATGCATAGTGTGCTCCTCTTACAAATGCAAATACCTTTTGTGGTCGGTGTGAGGCAGAAACACTTTTCCGCTATTATGTCCTCTATGATTATCTAATCAGGGCTGCTATTCCCCAGAAGGGAACTTAATGTGACCTGTCACAGACCAGTGCGGTGCTGTTTTGATTCACTCAGTTATCCCGGACTCTGACTAAACCCAAAAAAGGGGGATGTGTACCGTCTGTTCCCCCTTAAAATCCTGCCATGACCAAATGTTGACAGTGACGCAAACCCCAGCCAGTGTATTATATTCAGTTAAACTTATACCACCATGCATGTGTGCTACGAATTATGTGCTCAAGTGAGAATAAAATACCAATTTCATGCATATTTGCAGGGCTAAATTGCATTCCTTGATTGGGGCACCGTACTTAGGGCAGGCATGAAATTTCAAGTCATAATCATATTTAACCACAAAATAGGAAAGACAGACGGAAAGAGAGACAGAGTAGGTAGGAGAGGGTGAGAATAGTGTCACCCTAAAACATGAGTGGTACTTTGTGTGGTAGTTTGTATTCCATACAGAGGCAGCAGTGTTTTATTAAAGGAAAAGGGAGATCCTAGTCTGTGTTATATTTTTACCTGGTTTATTAGTTGCACACTGTGCTGCCTTGACAGCACAGTTGCATGGAATCCAAACAAGGTAATGGAAACAGGACAGGTGCTTAAACGCCAGGGAGTAAGCATAATACAGCCTACCAGCATACTGTACATGGTCCCAATGCGCACAAATGCGCAGCTGACTGGTTATCACCGTGGAGGGGGGAAACACAGTACCAAAGCAGTTCTTACCGAGTGTGAAGTAGGGGAGAGCTGTGTTGTCAAGATCATCCATTACTGAAATTCGCCCAGGTAGGTCGGTCCTAACGAATAACAGGAGTCGGGATTCCCCCCCTCCTCCTGCTCCTCCTCCTCCAGTTCCTCCCCCAGTTCCTCCTCCACCAACACCACCTGCTCCAGCGGCGGCCACCCCTCCTCCTCCTCCGACCACGTTCCCGGAGGCTCCGCCGGTGAAGCTGAACTCGTTCTCCCGGAGTACGGGCAGGGTAGAGACGGTAACGGTTTTCACCTCACACGGCGTCTCCGCGTCGCTCTCTTTGTCCCTCTCATCGTCAGGCGATGCCGCCCCTCTGTTCGCTCGGACCGTCCGGGTGTCTGTTAATAAAAAGAGCCCCACGAGAAGGACGCGGAGGTGCAGCGGTAATATCCTCGCCATCCCCGCTCCTTGCGTGTGGTTCTCCTCGCTTTGAGTGGGGCTCATAAGCTGTCCGTTCACTTATAGTACAGTCGCTGCAAAGGAGTCGCGTCCGTCCAGGAGGCGGCAGCACAGGTGTGGTGAGAAGAATGACATCTCGGCTCCTCGCACACATCCATCTGCGCTGTTCGCACTGTGGGATAACAAATCACTGGGACATGGACTAGCACGTGTCCTCTTTTAAAGACATATATGAGGTGGAGTCAGCACGTTAGTCGTTATGTGTAATCGTATTGGGTTTGGCAAAAAAAAATGTATAAAAACTTCCCAGATTTTGCCTTCTGAGTTGCGTTTAGATGTTTTCAATCACACGTTTTAATAATAATGATAATACAATCAGTGATTCAGGTAGAACTTGGACTGACAAACATAATTTAGTAAATTAATAGTAACTTATGTGTGTATGGAGGCTGTAGACACCAGTGGTAGAATGTAACTACATTTACTGTCCTTAGGTACATTTTGGAGGTATTTATACTTTACTTGAGTATTTCCAGTTGATGCAACTTTATATTTCTACTCAGTTCCATTTTAGAGGCAAATATTGTATGTCTTATTCCTCTACATTTGTCTGAGAGCTTTAGTTACTAGTTACTTTTGAGATTGCTATTTTTTTTACATCCTTCATGTCTACTGACAATCACATACCTCCAAATATGGTGATTTTGAATTAGATTTTTATGCAAAACTACCACATTAAATGTGTCTTTATAGGTTGAAAATGCATTGTCACAAAGCTTAAAAACAGGGCTGTTTTTTTGAGCTCATGAAAAGTTAACTTTATAGAGAATTGTAGTTCTCACAGAACAGCGATAATGTTATAGAATATGATGCCTTGCTGTAGATTGAACTATCCAACAGTACATAGAGTAGTTAAAAATAATTAGCAATTAACCATCTACAGCAATAAAATGCAACATACACATTAATGCAGCAGAGTACTTGCAGTGTGTAGGAGTGTTTTCACAGTGTGGTATTAGTACTTTTACTTAAGGAAAGGATCTGAATAGTTGTTCCACCACTGGTAGCCACATCATTTACATATGCCTTGTTTTTTCCAAATACATTTTTATGATGTTCATCCATGACCTCTGAAACAGCAATAAACAAAACAATAATACAGCAAAGTCATTTTTTTTGGATTGTATCACATGGTCTTCATCAGCATCAAAGACTTCTCATCCATTATGACACCAAAGTTGAGGTTCAAAGTTTATTTTTGACTTTGCAAAACTGCAGCTGTTGACAAAACAGTCTTAACCTCAAGCATACCTTTAATATTTGAAAAGCCTATATAATATATGATATGAGACATACCTATTTTTGTTTTAATTAAACCAGTTTGAGTCAAGTGGACAGCCTAAGGCACAAATTCATCAGTAATGTTAGCCACACATATTGGCTATATTAAATAGTGATTAATAATAAACAGTACAGAACACAGATGCATGAGCAGTAAGTAAATGAGGCCCTGGTTGTTCAACTTACCATGCCCTAAAAGACTCAACAGCTCAGTAAAGAAGTTTCACTCATCCATACACCTACTGTCAACTCATTCACTGTTAAAACAGATTGTTTTTTTTTTTTTCAAATATAAAAGCTACATTCAACTGAATGTTCAGCTTTGCCAGAAAGAACCAAGCTCAAACTAAAAAGTATAGTCATGTCACCCTGAAATATATCACTTTGGGTGACTGCACTAGAAATGAAAGGGAGAAAATGTTTCTACAAAGAAAATTCAATAGTTACATTATAAAACTAATTACAGTAAAACTGAATTTAATAATATAAATAACCTATACAGATACAGTTTTAAAGACCAATAAATGTAAAGGCTTTTTGTACAAGTCATTCTTTAATCAACCTTCAAGTATTTGAGAACCTTATGTAAGGACAGAGGCTGTTTCAAAGCCGCAGTGTTACATATGGTTAGTCAGACATCTTAATCAACAATGGGTCGCCACTATGTACAGATTTATGACTTCCTATCAGCTTTTTCACAACTTTATAATTTTGAAGGGGATAAATAATCAAATTTCGCTCAGAAAAACACTAAAAAATGAGAATTGAAAAATGTCAACATGAACATAGTTTGCCTTTTTATGACATCCCTTTCTATAATCTGCTTAATGTTGCTTGTAATTTATACTTCAGAATAAATCTGAATATCTGTTGTCTTTCCTTACAGCAGTGTCCTCTGAGGGTGAAACAGACAACCCCCCTTTTTGTGCTCTGTCCATGCTGCTGACACATTTAAACTTTTACTGTGTCCTTATTCCATAGGATATACAAGTACTACACAGCATGTATAACTTATCCCCTGATTATGTTTTTCCACTTTTCCACTTTTCCACCAATACCCCAGAAATGAAGGTTGCTGTATTTAGCGTTGTACTAACAGGGAAGGATACAACACCAAAAACACATCAATCATATAGTGACTTTGGAACACAGCTGTCAGTTAAAGTTTAAAAAGATAACAGTTAATACTTTATGGTGGTTTTCCAAGATCTTGCTGAAGCTGTATTACCACTATGAACACCTTGTTTTCCCAGCTCCATCATTCCCTTTATGTATCGCTTTGAGTATCCACTAAAAATAACATCATACAAATTGTGTATGCATACTGACATCTTTGACTATACTTACTATGTGTCACTTTTCCAGTGTGAACATACTTCCTACTCCAAACTTGCTTCAAATTAATATGGAAAAGGGACACAGCACCAGCCGTTCTCTCTTCTCTCTCCATGGTGCTGAAATATTCAAACACACTCTCTCGCACTGTTTTTCTTCATAGTGCTGAAGCATTCAGTTTCCATGTATTAATGTGTCTACTCTCTCCCAGTAACTGAACACACCTTAGCCTCAACCACAGGGAGCAGCACTACTGACACTTTTTTTAAGGAAAAGTAGCGAATGTCTGCCCAAAAGTTATTGTCATAAGCCTTCTTTTTAGAAATACAGTTGCTGAAAGGGTCTTAAAAGTTACCAGAGCTAACAGCGTAGTCACTAAGTTCCAAGTGTGCACCATTGCTTTGGTATAAGGCACATTCTCTCTCCTAGGCATGAGCTGGTAAAAAGGCCAGAACCAATATACTCAACCCCCACTTGATCACATTTATCCTACACTGGTGTGAAGCAGTAGTCAGAGCTATTGGATTTTAAGTGTATCCCACAATTCATCATGTTCTCCTAGGCCATTGTGTACCTATTAACAGGTTGATGCAAACACAAATAAGTTAAGGCTATCAATTTTCAATATTGGCAGGGCCATGAAATATAGAACTTTTAGTGATTTCTGAAAAAGTAATAATGAATAACAAAACTTCATAAAGGCAAATAATTACCCAGAGACTCCCCAGGCTGTAGGAATGTGACACAAAACTAAAACAGCTATTTATTCTGCCTCAGAATTTTTTATGTTGATATTGATCCCTGTGTTCTCCATTCTGGGAAGCCAGAACAATTGCGCAGCTCTTTTATTCATGTGTAAACATTAGGAAAATGTTGGCAGAACCTCAAACGGGGTTATCGCTTACTTTACAGTATTACTCCTTCAGCTGCCCTAAATATGTGTTACTGTTTTTTCAATTTTGGTTTATTGTTGTTCTATTCCTGGTCGTATTTATTTGTAGTTTTGTGAAAATAAGATGAGATCAAATAAAAAAAGCATTTGAGCTCGAACAACTAAGCCAAAATGTGCCTGAGCGACAGGGAGACCTCATTAACTAAGTGGGTCCCAGTGCATCTTTTAAATTCACCACACAATTGCAATCACCGAAAACATATCACACAAGGCGACACTTAACTTGCAAATACTGTAATGCAGGTGTGGGTATTGAAACAGTTTGTATATTTGTCTCTCTACATGATTTTTAAAAATCAGTCCTGGTTTCCTAGGCACTAGTTTCATGTTTGGCCATTTCGTTTGAAAGTTGCTTGTCAAACAGTTCATTCTAAGTGACAATATGAAGTGGCTTTTTCATATTCTATTTAATCATCTTGAGACAAATCTAAAAATACATGCACAACAGTTTCATTATTTGGGCAGTGAATCCAATCATCTGATCATCTGTGAAGGAAATCTCTTTAAAAGATACCACAGAGAGCACTCGTCCCCAGCTACAGCTGACCCAGCTATGTAACTGTCATAAGTCAAATTTGCTTATGTTGGTGACTTCTTGAAAGACAAGCTTTCTCTGGGCCATTGTATTCCCATTTTTTCCATGCATCTCTTCTGTGCGGTTCTAAGTGTGTGTGTGTGTGTGTTGGTGTGGGGGGGGGTGGGGGGGGGTTGGACAAACACCCTCTTTTTGAACCCAAATCAAAAAGACAAAACATCCGATTCAAAGAAAAGTCAAATCGGGCTAGTGTATTGTTCTGAAAAAATTTATATGTTTTTTTATTCCAGTCATTTAGAAATGTAACTTTAGCCAAGGGCCAATTCATGTTCATAATAGTTGTTGTTATCATTTCTTTGTAACTACTAGTATGCTACAGGTGGGTTTCTATAACCACCACAAAGAATCAACCCCATTATTACATTTTTTCAACCATAATCTACACTTTGAAGAGCTAACATGAAGTGAACCCATGGAAGTCACTGCCACATTCACCTCCCCTACAGTAATTTGCATTTGGCCAACTTTTTACCGTTGCCTTTCTGTGTTAATTTGACATTTTAGTCAGTCTGTCATAATGATTTCCTGATGGAATAGTTGACTACAAAGATTAGCCTAAAGGGCAAATCTGACAAGCTTTGCTGTCCTCCTAGTGAAAGTGCTGACATTGTGGAGAGATCTAGTGTGGGTCCACGGAGCATATGCCGTAGTTTTGCAGACATAACCTCTTTTGCTGATAGATTTCATTGAACACTGTCTGTCTTTAATGGGTAAACAGTAACAAGACATCAGATAGGATTGATTGATGTCGGTGTGTTCGGTGAGGTGGTGGAGAGCTGCAAGTAGCAACTTTAACAAGGGTACAGAAAGGCAAACTGCATTGTTATTAGCTGATGGAGAGCTGTAGTTGGTTATATGAGATTTATTGCTCAGGAAATTGCTTCGACCTGAATGCCGTGGTAGCCTCTGACT